GAATGGTAATCATCACTTATCGGTTACTAACCCACTTGATTTGGAACCCAAAACATGAAAATGGGGTTTTAGGTCAATTTAAGTGTCATGTATCAATTCATGAACCTTCTTGAATCAATTCCAACAAAAATAATGCAATACCATTTGTCTTGAATCGATTCAAAGAATTTATGATCGAATTCAATCCTACAAAAACTTCTCTAACTCGACTCAAACTCTTATTGGATCGACCCATGATGAGTGCAACCCCAAAAAACAACATTTTCTTACAAGAATTCCAGGTTCCATCCTAACATGATCACCCATAACCTCAAGTTCAATCTAAGCACAACCATGTTCATCATACCACTCTTAAATTACACCAATTTTCACAATACATTAAGATAGAACATAAACTCCTGACATGCATTCATCATGACAAAGCTTAACCATTAATCTATCACATGCAAGATTATTCCACCGGTCAAATTTGTAATCACAATCTATGTTTAGAAGCCCATCTTTGGTTTTGTTTATGGTTTCAAGACAATGTATATGATTGATGAAGAAGACAGGGATGAACACTTCAGGTTCTACACTTGTTGTCTTCAAGTTCCTTCTTCAAAGTCTTGGAGTTATATGTGACTCTTATTATTTCTTCGAGAGTTCTTTTGATTCTTCGTAGCCATACAATGAAAAGAAAAAATGGTTGAACTTCTAACTTTCTACTTCTATATCTCCCTTTAAAATGACCACAATGCCATTGCTCATGCATTTTATTTCAACTTTGACCATTGATTCACCCAGTTATGTAAAATGACAAATTTTACTCATTATGTTATAGCAATGTAAAACAAGGGGCATTAGAGGTATTTTATCACTATGTTTGGTGGTGAGAAGGAGTTAAGTAGATAGAAAAGAGGTGGAGTAAAAGATGAAATAAAGAGAAGATAAATATACTCCCTCTGTCACAAATTATAAGTCACTTTATTAAAAAAATTTGTCCTAAATTATAAGTCACTATATGATTCCAATGCAACATTAATGATTTTTTCCCCAACATACCCTTTATCATTTATTACTATTTTTCTTTCAATTCTTTAAATTTATCTTTCATCTATAATAAATGAAGGGAAATATTGTAAAGTGATGCATAATTTGTCTTTCCTATACAACAATCATTATGTTTCTTAATTTGCGTAAAATGTGCAAAACGTCTTATAATTTAGGACGGGGGTAGTAATAGATCTGGTGTATTGTTTGATGTAAGGGAACAAAGAGAGAAAGAAGTGAAAGAGATGGTACTACTTTTTAAAAGATCAAAATATCATTGAGTTAAAATCATCATAGACTTTATAGTTAATCAAACTATAAACATATTTTAATTCATCTACAAATAAATTTGTTTTGGTTAATTTATTGTTTATATCTCATAAAAAAAATATACCCTCCATTCTCTTTTATAAGCAAATTTTAATTTTTTAGATTCATTAAATAATTAATGTATCTAGTCTATATATTGTTCAAATACATTATTTATTTAATGAACCTAAAAAGTCAATTTTTTTATATAAAAGAAAATGGAAGAAGTACTTTATTTAATATTAAAAAATTACCAATCCAAAGCAATGCAACCACGGTCCCAATTTTTAAAAGTAATATGTGATTCATTTTTTTATAATAAAAAAATAAAATAAAATAACTCACGCTTTGAAATAACAATGACATAAGAGATTTTTTATTTATTTTAATTTTTGATGTTTTTTCCCACTTTAGAAGAGATAGAAAAAAGGTATGAGTTTCACCATTTATTCTTCTCTCATCTCACTTTTTCAACTTTCTTAACACAAGAAATCTCCAACCTCTAAGGCAGGAACAAGATCTCCTCAACTCGATTCGACTCGTTAAGAATTGATTCAATTTAAATTTTGATTCGAGTTTGACACAAATATTTTTTTAAGCTCAAACTCGATTCGTTGTAAGTTCACGAACAATTCAGTTCATCTTATTAGGTTCATCTTCATTACACATGTTATTTTATCAAATATCATAATGCCTCCAACAAAGATGACTACAAATGCAATTGTCAGTTTTACTTCCATAACTAGTATGGAAGTGACAATATAGAATTAAGATTTGGAGTAAATGTTTAAACCTACACTTAAAGACAATATAATTCTTCTTATTTATAATCGAGTTGACTCATGAATCTAACGAGTCGAACTATGTATAGTTAAAGTTCAACTCATTTAATTAATAAACTTAGTTTACGCTCATATTCAGCTCATTTGATTCATGAATCTAATTCAACGATTTAATTATTGAAATAAATTTCAAACTATTTTTCAATTGATTTGGTTCATTGTCAGCCCTATCAGCTTCTCATCTCTTTCTCTCTTCTATACTCTCTCCTTTATTTATCTCAAACCAATTAAAGCCTACGTTAAGTCTTCATAGAATCAATTATAAATAGTATTTGATGCCCAAGATTCATTTTATTCCATTTAATAAAAATATATTACATCCAGTCATTATTATAAGTAAAATAGTAATTTTAAATCTTACTCACTTTATAAAAAAATCATTAACTTTTAAATTAATTAATATTTATATTATTAATATACCTTTAGTTTAATTCAACTATATTTAGTGTTGGTAGTTGAATTATCAAATATTACTAAAAATATTATAAAAAAATTACTTTAACTATACATAAAATTAGAAAAACTAATTATATTTAACTAACTTTTTTAATTAATATAAAAATAGTTATTTTTACTTATAATTATAATAGAAGAGAATACATCATCTATATTAAAGAAAGTCAAAAGTTAAAAGAATTAAAGTTGTACCTCAAAAACGGGTAATTGACACTTTTATTCTTTTTGTATTCAATTTATTGATCTTATGGTTTTGAGTAAGATCAATAATTTAATTCTAACATGTTTATATTTTATTGTTTTGACATCAATTTTAATTTTCACTTAATTTTGTTTTTTAATTATGGATATCCAAAAAAATTGACCATTGTCGTGACATCTTTGCAGCTTAAAATGTAACAAAAATATTTGAGGGATTAAATTGTGTAACACTTACAATTAAATAAACGAAGAGTGAATGAAAAAAAAATAAGGATAAGTTAGACGAAAATAAATTAACATTCACTATAAGAAAAAATGATATTAGTTAGGGACATGGGCTAGGGAGAAAACCCCTCACTAAAAAAAACCAGATTGTTTGGGATTAAATCCTTCGCAAAGTACAAAATAGGAAAAAAAATAATAATGGAAAACACTTCCTAGGGGATACCCCTCGCAAACAAGGAGAGATTTGAATTTTGAAACATGCTTTTACTAGGGGTCAGCGCAAAAATTGAGTGGGAATTGTGGCAATTTGCGAGGGGCCTACCCCTCACCACATTATGATGTGCATTTTGCGAGGGGTCTCCCCTCATCAGTTGAAATGCTTTAGTCAAATCCAACTGAAAAAACATTTATTCTGCTACTACATGACAGGAAAGGGGTTGCAACACGTTAATTGGGGATACTCACAATTGGACAAAAAGAAGTATTTTTTTGGGACCTCCCATATTGGAAGGATAATTTATTGCGACATAATCTTGATGTTATGCATATTGAGAATAAGGTTTTTGATAATGTATTTGACACAATGATGGATGTCCAAGGCAAGACAAAAGATAATTAGAAGACTAGAAAGAACTTTGACTTTTGTGTAATCGAAACGACTTGGAGTTAAAATCTCAACCAAATAGAAAATTATTAAAAACCTAAGGCTTGTTACACTCTTACTCCCCAAGAAGCAAAAGCAGTCTGCCGATGGTTAAATGCAAGATGTGTTGATGCAAAAACTGGAAAGCTGCATGGAATGAAAAGTCATGATTGTCATGTTTTCATGGAACGATTGCTTCCAATTTGCATTCGGTTCACTTCCCAAGCATGTTCTTAATCCACTAACTGAGATTAGTCAATTTTTTAAAGACATTTTTACGTTAACTTAACGAGTGGATGACATCTTTAAGTTGGACCAAAATATTCCCATCATTCTCTGCAAGTTAGAGCAAATATTTTCGCTAGGTTTCTTTGATTCTATGGAGCACCTCCCTGTGCATCTTGCTTACGAAGCTTACCTTGGTGGACCTGTTCAATATAGATGGATGTATCCATTTGAACAATTTATGGGTGATTCAAAGCGATCAGTGAAAAATAAGGCAAGAGTTGAGGGACCAATATGTGCATATTATTTGCATCGAGAAACTTCACATTTTTTCTCTCATTATTTCAATCATATGATGTTGACTCCGAGAATCATAAGGAATGAAGTTCACTTTAGTGAAAGAAGTAAATTTACCTTATTGATTTTTGGCCGTCCCGGTCATTCTTTTGAAAGACGAGTGTGCATTGGTTGTCTGAAAAAGAAATGTAATATGCTCATGTGCATGTGTTGATTAACTGTGTTGAAGTTAAACTATATCTTGAGTAAGCATATTAAATTACGTTTGTATTTTTTTGTGATAAATATACTTGTCATCTTCTTTAACATAGATTTTTTCTTCTTCGAAATAGGGCATTTAATACCTATTATTTTCAAAGCACGGGTGAACAACCATCGACTGGTTACACACATGCCTATTTTCCTGCATGGTTCAAGCAAAAATTACATTGCATTGTTGCACTAAGTCCTGAAATAATTCATTTGAGAAGTTTATCTAAAGACCCTCATCAACATACAAATGAATGACACACATACTTTGTAAAATGATATAAATTTCACACTCAAACATGGACAAAAGGGAAGAAAATAATAAACAGTGGTGTAATTGTAAAAGGAGTTACGGAGGGCGGTGAGGACGACTTCTATGGTGTTATCACACATATTTATGAGTTGGTATATAATTACATGGACTCGGGAAATAAAGTTATCCTATTTTATTGTAACTGGTATGATCCATCTTCCAGAGGAACTAAAATAGATAAAAAAAATATAACACTGTTGAGGTTAGAATGGATACAAAGTACAAAGAGTATAACCCTTTCATAATGGCACATAATGTTAGGCAAGTCTACTATATTCCTTATCTTTCAATTCAACCAAGTAAACGAGGATGGTGTGTTCTAATCAAGTCTAATCCAGTGGGTTATATTAAATTTGACGGTGTAATGGAAGATGGTGTTGCATACCAAGATGATGAGATTTCACCAGTGAATGAGGTAATTGAAATTGAGGAGATTACAAGTTTGGGTGATACTGTAGTTGTGGGTCAACAAGTTGACACAACCATCTTGTTGTCAGCAAATCACGTGGACGAAGAGGAAGAAGAGTCAGGAGACTCTGAAGACAACAATATCATATCTGATGAAGACAATGATGATTACGAAGATGAATAAATTAAATAATATGTATTATGCAATTATACTATTGTGTAATGATATTATTGTGTAATACGTATTGTAATAATACTATTGTGTAATTGCTTGAATTAATTTACTTTTATCATTTTATAAAATATTTTAGTTTAAAAATGCCACCCCGAAGTGAGGAAAAGGGTAAGGGTAAGGCTCGCAGCACAAGGTTCTTTGTATAAGAGGCTTCTAATTCATCTATGTTTATTCATATGCCACTTTTGAGTCAGGTGCATCCTACTCCATTGCCTGTTCACCCTACTCCACCGCCTATGCAGACTTCATCCATGTCTGGTGGATCTTTCACACATGATTTTCCTTCATTCCCATTGATATCTGCGTCGACCTTTATTAGTCCTCCTGGATATGCACCTATTATGCATCCCAGTACCCTGCATCCCACATATTTTCCGATACCTTCCATGCAGTCGAGCGGGCCTAGTTTTCTGATGCCTTCCATGAAGTATTTTATGCCATATACGAAGGCTGGTGGATTTAGCATGCCATATTCATCACCTGTGCATTCTACGTATGATGAGCAAGATGATGAGGATGGTACTAGTGCTCATGGTCATGGATGTACCAGTTCTTATGATCATGGAGATACTAGTGCTCCTGATAGTGCTCATGAGGACCGAAGGAGGACGCGCATTCTGAGAAATGCAAAGCCCCAAACAATTAGGAAATACAAGGGCAGATATGTCATTCGTTGCGATGGAGGAATGAATGTTTTATATATTATTTTTTTAAAATTTAAATTTGAGTTTTTTTTAATGTTAATATTAAAGAAAAGTATAAAAAGTTTTGGCTGACATATGGAGCACTTCTCGAAAAAGAGAAGGAAAATTGGTTTAGTTTATTTCAGGTATAAAAATAACTATTATTTTAATCTCTTATATATTTAGTTTATTTCATAATTTTGTATTATTTAATTATTTTAAAATTCATAAAACAATGTAGGAGAAATGTGCTTGGGACTTTACAGAGCAACAACAAATAAGAGAAAATTTTGATACAAAATGTGATGCTCGATTATCCAACACGCTTAGAAGTGTTCGAATTAAATGGGAAAGTAAAGGAACACGCCCCTATTGGATAGGTGAAGATGTATTTGAGCAACTTATTGACCATTGAAATTCGGAAACCTTTAAGCAAGTATCTGAAACAGCAAACAAAAAAAACTGGGCATCTGAAGTTGGTGGCTGCAACTACGCAATAAGAAGTATTAGTGTTGCTGAAATTGCACATAGGATGGTAAATTTATTTATGTTTTTACTTAAATTTTCATTTAAAATTTAGATTAAAACTAACTATTTTTTCACTTACGTTTTATTTTATTAGTGTGCTGAGTTGGGTAGAACTCTGATGCTTAATGAGATCTGTCACACCCTCATTTTCACCTTTAGCCTTTCATATCCTTCGTTCGTCATATCATACATCGTTCTATTGTATATCGAGCATGTGGGTTCACAAGGTAAGGATTGGGTCGATTCATTTGTTTTTCATTTCAAATAAGATAAAATTACCTATCATGGGCTACATGGAAGAAAAGGTTCATCATCTAAGGTTTGATCTAAGTTGGAAAGTCTACTCATGTAGATTTCTTCAAGGAGAAGTTCATTGAAAAATATTAGGATATTCAAGATCAATATTCCTAATATACATGAAGTGCAATGCCTAATTCAAGGTTTCTTCTTCCAACTTTATTTCAAATTCTTGATCAAGTGGAGTTCAAATTTGCAAAGCATGAGTCAAGATCACGAGTGCATAATTCAAGACTTCATCCATTTCAAATAATGGTATAAGGGAAATCCATCATTCAAAGTTCAAAATTCATGAATTCAAGACTAGAATATTACAAAGAGAAATTTCATGACATTACAAGAATGCCATTTCTTACAAAATTTCCAACTCTAAGTAATGTTTAGAAATCAATCTATTTTTAATCTTCATTCAAGTCTATAATCAAATTCATGCAATGGTACCCTTCATGCCCCAACAAGTTTACATGTTCCACATTGTGCCCACAAACATCCAAGGAAAATAATTAGGAGTTAACTCAACATTGGAACATGTCAAGATCAAGACTATGTTTTCTTAGCCATGAGTAATTTTAATGTGATCCAAAACAGGCCCATGCAAGAAGTGACAATTTGCATTATATCACAAAATCATTACATGTCACAAGACCAAGGAAATGAACCCACAATGATGCATCTACATATTAAATATCAGGATTTTCAAAATGCTGTCAAAAAGGTAGTAGCATTGACCACGAGAGTTGTCCAAATACAAGCCAACAAATGGGTATAAGGTTTGAGGAAAATGTAGAGTGCTGCATAAAAAAGACAGCATAGGCAAGTAGTGCAGCAAAAATGCAACATAACAACATACATGGAAATGGAAAGAAAGAGAGTGACATGAGGAAAGTGGCAAGAAACATTTCTCCATGAAAAAATCTGATGTTTTGAAAGAAGGTAAAACCCTAATATGCTGAGATAAAAGAGGAGAGGGGGCTGCAAACAAAGGATTCAGCATTCACACACATTGAGATAGAGAGATTGAGAGAAAAGAAACATTGAAAAAACCAGAAAAAAGAGAGTAAGAAAAAACAGAAAAAAGGATTGAAAAGAAAACCTTGAGAGAACAAAAAAGTGTTAGAAAATCAGAAGGAGGAGAACATCCAACAAAGCCGTTGGTGGTGAAGGAAGCTAGTAACTCTTGGGTATCCTTCCTTTAAAATTCTCACCTCTTTACATTTGTTGCATGCTTTTATTTTCATGTGTTTTTGATGTATGTTGTAATAAGGTCTCAAATATGACCAATAAACCATTGTAAAAAATAAGCAAGAAAAGAGATAGAACATAGTTTTGGTTGCATAGTGACATGAGTTGAAAAACTCAAAATACTGTCACGTTCGCTAACAAGTTCGCCTAGCGAACTTTGCTCCATTTCCCCACTGTTTCCATAAAAAACATGTGTTCTGGGCAAAACAGCATGAAGTTCTCCTAGCGAACTTTTTGACGTTTCTTTCTGTCATGTTCGCTGGCACCTTCGCCTAGCGAACTTTGCCCTATTTCGCCTCTATTTTCATTTGCTAGAGGTTCGTCTAGCGAACTTTGCCCTATTTCGCCTCTCTTTTCATTCGCTAGAGGTTCGCCTAGCGAACTTCGTGTTTATTTCTAGGCACCTTCACCTAGCGAACTTTGCCCCCTTTCGCCTCTATTTGCGTTCGCTGGGAAGTTCGCCTAGCGAACTTCTTGTTATTTCTGGGTAGCTTCGCTACAACATTCGCCTAGCAAACTTCCCTTTGTTTTTCTAGTTTTTTTCCCAATTTTTTTTTTCAAGGAGTTCACACGCGAACTCCTTGAAGGCATTTCATGCTGTTTTTTTTCTTCATGTTTCGTGTTGTTTATGCCGACTAACCCGATGTGGTTGAACGACCATTGTATGTGGACATTATTATGGTTATGTTTGACTTTTGGTTCCAAAACTATTTTCAAAAATAAACTCTCGATTTCATCGAGCCATTTTCACCCTTGTAAGTCGACCGCCTTGTGCTTTCGCCATCGACCTTGTTCGCATCACTTCAAATATTTTCACAAATAATAAAACCCTTGACCCAACATCAAGTGGTATATTTTTTCTCATAAAAAATCCAAAATACAATATATATACGATTAGGGTTATACGACATGGGCTTCAAAGTGGTGGAGAAGGAATGAGAATGGAACCCTCCTACACTCGTTCCGAATGTTTTAAATATAAGGCGCTCGACTTGGTTATTCGAAACATTCATCTCTATCCAAAGTCTTTAGTGTGATCCTAATAAAAAACAATCTCCTCTCAAAAACTTAAAAATAACATCAACTCATCAAACTTCTTTTCGCCTTAGGGCATCAATCCGAAAACCCTTTTTCAAGGTATAAAATCAACCAACAAACAACCATTTCACAAGCCTCTGAACTACGGAGCTCTGATTCTTCACTTCTTTTAAGTGAGGATACGTAGGCACAAGGGCCACAATCCTTGGCGAGCATTAAAATAAAAAAACCACCCCCTCTTTCCCTTTAAGCAAGCAAACTTTTAATAAAAATACCCATTCAAGCTAAACAACCTAGAAGGTTCCCATCGAGTACGATGGACGCGAGGGGGTGCTAATACCTTCCCCTCGCATAACCAACTCCCGGACCCTAAGACTTGGTTGCGATGACCATGCTCTTTCCCTAAAGGTTTTATCGTTATTTCCCTTTCCCTCCTTGGGACAAATAAAATTCGCTGGCGACTCTGTGTCATTTTTTGCGTAGCGAAAAGATCCATCTAGAGACTCATATCAAGAAAAATTAGGAGTTTGTCGATAAACGCTCAAAGGACACTCAAGTAAGTTTTGCTAAAATTTAGTCATTTTATTTCTTTCTTTTATGTACCTATCTTATTTAAATTATTATAACATCTAGCTTATTTATTTTTTATATGAGAAGTATGATAAAAAACTTGCACTTTTTTTATCTAAGCATCCTGAGTTACCTCCACCACCACAGGGATATCCTGTTGATCTTTGTCTAGGTTTTCAGACTTGGTATGATAATGCTCGCAGAAAGAGGAAAAATGGAAAGGTGTATGGTGCTGGAGCGTATGCCAAAAAAAATTAAGCGGCGTGATAGGACTTTCAGATTGAGACTTGATGATGGAGAAGGATCATCACGTCCACCTATATTAACCGCTGATATGCTTAAAACTGTGAGAAATTTGGCGCAGACCGAGGCAGCACGTGAGACAACAGCTAGACAAGCAGAGATGGAGGATATGAGGAGAAGACAAGCAGAGATGGAGGAAAAATTGAAGAGGAAAACAACGGAGTATGAGGAAGCAATGCAGATTGCAAATGAGCGCGCATTGAAATTTGAACAATTTATGGTCTCGCATATGAATAAGGCGTTGGAGAAAGAGATGAGAAAAATGAGGAGGATGATGAAGAAGTTGAT